TCATGGCACATGACCCAACCTGAATAATGATGAGGCGCTAACTAATCAACTAATGATGACTCACTATTCAGTGAAACAGCCATCATTGTTCTCCTATGAGACCCAGATTCTCCCAACTATGCAATTACCCCAGGTCCAAGGAGACTTGCCTGTGTTACCTAAACCAGAAGCCCCCCTCCTGGCTCGCAGGACAGTATCAGCAGAGATGAGGAGAGTGACGGGGTTCAGGCATCCTGAAAGCATGGGTTCAGTATCAGGGACCCCTCACTGTGAGGGTTGTTGTGTGGATGTGATGTCTGGGAGCCCAGACACAAATGATCCCCTCTGGGAAGTCAGCCTAGAACACACCAATTTGCTTGTTTTCCTGTACGTCCCCTCAGACAGCGGCAGCCCCCTAAGCCTGGGCAAGGCCCCTCTTATCCACACTGTGTGTTGAGCCCCTAGACCAATATCTGCACATGCTGGGTGTTCAGTACGTGTGTGAAGCACCCCACCTGGGAGTCACCCCCATGTCACAGGTGGACTCTGTGTCCCTGGTGCTGCCCGATGCCTTTGATATCGATGACTGTGTCCCCTCAGTGTGGTCTGTGGATCCCTGAACCCTAGTATCACTGCATTTGCGACAAGGCATGGAAGGAGGTGATTCAGATAAAGATGGTCATGAGGGTGATGCCCTCATCAAGAAGAGCAGGTGACTTTATAAGAAGAAGAAGAGAACCAGGGGTGAGCCCCACAGAAAAGCCCATGTGGGGGCACCATGAGACACAGCCATTGAAATCCAGAAGAGAGATTGCAGGAGAATTCAAACCTGCTGACTCCTGATTTTGGGTTCCAGACTCCAGCAGCGGGTCAAATGAATTGCTGTTGGCTAAACCTTCCATTCTGTTAAGGGGGCTCCAGCCAACCAACTCACCCCTCAAGGAACTGTCCCCAAATCAACCATCCCCCATTAAGATTTGTGCTCAGTGGGCCTCCCCAGTGGCACAGCGGTTGAGCGCTGGGTTGTGAAGCTCCCTGCGGCTTCTGCGGCGCCAGTTCGATCCCAGCTGCTCCCCGGCCACCGGAGGAGGGTCCCACATGGCGCGCAGACCTCTCCTGCCGCCCGCTGCACCCCTCAGCATTGTACTTCAGTCCCTCTGCCTGCTCTGCTCCCCGCTAAGGCACCGGTGAATTCTCTCACCCTCTCGCGCTTCTGACTGTACCCAGTGCATGTATAAACAAATAAACAAACAAATAAATAAATAAAATACGTGCCTCTTTAAAAAAAAAAATAAAATAAATAAATAAATAAATAAAAACAATTTGTGCTCAAAACCCGCCCAACAACTATGGAAAGCTGTGTGGAGATTTCTCAACCTGCTAAAGATGCAGCTTCCATATGATCCAGCAATTCCACTCCCAGGTATTTACCCAGGACACAGAATCATTAATTCAAAAGGGCACCTGCACCCCTATGTTTACAGCAACACTGTTTTCAATAGCTAAGCTTTGGAAACAACCCAAATGCCCCAAAACAGAGGACTGGATCAGGAAGATGTGGTACATATACACCATGGAATATTACTCAGCATTCAAAAAAGATAAACACATGCAATTTGCAGCAACATGGATGGCGCTGGAAGGGATCATGCTCAGCGAAATAAGCCAGAAGGACCAGATGGTCTCACTCATAGCGGGAATTAGGAAACCTAAATAAGAGACCAGGAAAAAGACTAATTATAATAAAATCAAAATCAGTAAGCAACTATAAACCAGAAACACACCACGGGGGGGGGGGGGCGGGGAGGAAGAGGAGGAGGAATTAGGGTCAAAATAAGAGGGGTGAGAATTGTATGGGGAATATAATCAAGATGAAAAGGTATACATTGTACAAAACTGAAAAATGATGTAAAAAAGGCATAAATTTAAAAAATAAATATAAAATAAAAAAAAATAATCTGTGCTCAATTTGAACAATCAGACAATTTGTTATCACCAAAGACAAGCTGTCTGGTCAGCTTTTGTGAGGATGAGGACTTGATTTTACCAAATTCACTGGGTCTCACACTGCAATTTTTTTTTTTTTAAAGATTTATTTATTTATTTATACAAGCACTGGGTACAGTCAGAAGCACGGGAGGGTGAAAGAATTCACCAGAGCCAGAGCGGGGAGCAGAGAAGTACACTGCTGAGGGGAGCAGCGGGCGGCAGGAGAGGTCTGCGCGCCATGTGGGACCCTCCTCCGGTGGCCAGGGAGCGGCCGGGGATCCAACCGGCACTGCAGAGGCTGCGGGCAGCTTCGCAACCCAGCGCTCAACCGCTGCGCCACCGGGAGGCCCTCACACTGCAACTTTTGACCAAACAAACAGGGAGCAGCTGTGCTGTTAGAGGGTGTACAGAATAAATCCCCTCTGAGGGGTTCCTGCCTCACTTCCCCACAGCCTGGAGCACAGTGTGACACCCCACCTGCTGCTTTGTGACTGGCAGTGGTACTCAGCCTCGTCCTCAGGCTGTAGCCCAGTGATGGTCAGCGAGCCCGAGGTGCCAGATTTGGAGCCTGGGAATCGATCAGGGACCCATGAGGGTCTATTGCTGTTATCATGTATCAGGAGTTTGGGGGTTGTTCCTGGGAGCTCTTGGTACCATTGCACATTATAACCCCCGATGTTGGAGCTGCTTCCAGCACAGGTGATGACGATGCTCTGGCCCAGTGCCCCAGACACTGAAGACAGATGAGTCAGCTCAGACTGGGCCCAGGATCCTGGAAGTGGGAAAGATGCAGTGAGGGTGATGCTGGGGTCTAGAGTCAGGAGGAAAAGTTAGGCCCTATGGATCCTCACCTGTGCAGTGAGAGAGGATCATTATGAGGAGAGGCATCCAGGCCATGGTGCTCATAGCCTCTGAGCCCCACATAGGGCTGGGCTGCCCCAGGCCTCCTTTACTTCCCGACCTTCTGCCAAGGGAGGGGATGTGCATGCAAATGAGTTTCCATCCAGGAACTTCCCAGCCCTCCCTGATCCCTGATGCTTCAGCTCAGCTCACAACCCACACTTGAGGAGTGGGGATGTTTCCTTCACCCCTTGGGAGAGCCTTGGGAGGAAGCACCTGCTGCCACACATGGGTGGCTCAGGGACTGTGCCAGGCCAAGAGGACACAGCAGCTGATTGCCCATCAGGGAACATAAGCACCAACCCTAGGCCCAGGCTGCTCTGAATGGATCATCATCACTGAGCAGCTGTGTAGCTCAAACAGGCAGCCCCGCAGTGCCCCCTGCTGGTCGCAGGGCTCACACACACCATGGCCCAGAGCCCTGGGAGCCCAGCTATTAAATGTCTTCAGCCACCAGGTCACTGTCTCTGGTCGCACACCCAGGTCTGATCCAGGGTGCTGTGGTTCCAGGACACGGCACTGGTTACTGTAGGTTCTTTTCCGACAAGTTTCTTAGTCCATGGAGGTGCAAACATGTGCATTCAGAATATATTTGACTGCATTTGAGAAATAACAAAATGATCCAAATGAGCATCAGTTCAGACAACACAGAATAAGGGAGAGAGAGCTGGTTGGAAGAACTTGAGAGGAAGTGCAGATAAGTGGCACAGAATAGAAATTCCCAAGAATAAACAAATGGCATATTCAAAAGAGGACAATTCAGCAACTATTTCCAAAAATTATCTAATTTTGGGTACAGATTAGATTTTTTCTCAGTGATTGGTGACAATAAAGGCTTTGGAAGACTTCACACATGACTGTGGATACCTATCACTTTTTAAACATTGTGCATCAACCTTTATATTTGTAATTCTCCGGTTTCTGTGGATCTGTGTCATATATTTCTACCAGGATTCTGTTTAATTCACTTATAATTTATTTGTATTTTAAATATTTCCCTTCCTTTTATTTATATACTTACTATCTTAGCTTAATAGCAAATAAACAGAAGATTTTATGTTCCCACTGTCTGGACAGTTGAATGCAGAACCCTGGCGTCCTCACCACACCCTGTTCTGCTCTGCTTTCACTTTGCCATGGTCCCCAGACTTCTAGACTCCCGGGTCTTGGGAAAATACCTGTGATCTCACATTCTCTCCTCAGTTATTCAAAGGATCCTCCTCCTTCATCTCAGGCAGGTCAGTAAATGCTCTCACCCTTCAGGACCCTCACTGCTCTGGGCATGAACCCCACCCCAGCCTCCCCTCAGGAGCCTGCAGGGTCTGCCCTGTGCCCTCACACACCTCACACCCTTCCTTGTTCTCAGACCTCCAGCCTCTCTCACACTCATGGCTTCACCACCTGACTCCTTTCCCTTGCATGGTCCCCAGAGTGAAGCCTTCTCTGTGTGGGGGAGGGGAGGGCTTGCACTTGTCATCACTGTGAAGACATACAGGGTGTCAAGTCTGAGGGACATGATTCTTCACAGCAGGATGTACCCCCATCATCACAAACAGGATTAGAGAAAACTAATTTATATCTTGGGCAACTTTGAAGTTAACAAACTATAGAGAGTTGTCCCCTTAGTCCACATCAACAAGGATCAATGAAACTCATCTTCTTTCATCTTCTTCTTTATCCTTCTTCTTCTGAATTGAAAACAATCCTAAATACCATATCACTTCAGGGCCTCCCTAGTGATGCACAGGTTAAAGACATAGCTACCAAGTTGTCACCAGCCACTGCAGCATGAGTTCTCTCCCTGGCCGGCAAGGGAGCTACCCACATGGTGCGATAGACATATCCAGTCTTACCTGCTGCTCCCCTCAGCAGTGTATTTCAGTAGATCTGCTACCCACTCTCTCTGGTGAATCCTCTCACCCCTGCACCTCTAGCTTACACCCCGGTTGTTGTATGCATAAATAAATAAAGCTTGAAAAAAAACCATATCACTTCATTGGCCATATATCGCAATCTGGCATGTATTTACATTTTTATTGACCTCAAACTACTGTGCATTAATGTAACATATTCCATGTGCTCTCTCATAACTTGTTTTGTTGAAATCTCCCAAGTGTGTGTCTAATTGGGTGGCGGGACAGATGGGAAATTGCAGGGAGTGCAGGGCCCATGTCTGGGGCAGGTGGTCCATGGAGGACACACTGGGGTAGAACAAGGCCCAGACCGGCACGTGTCCTCACACACCATGTGCTGGTTTCCTTCACCCACGGGCCCTGGGAGGGGTCATGTCTTCTCTGGACACAGATTTAAAACTTGTCTATCGTCCTTCATGAGTTTTCCCACCAGCTCCTTTGGGCAGATTGGGTTATAGTGTTGATTATTAAAGTTCTTTGACCCTGTGGTATATTTTGAGCTGCTTACTTTGTGTGAGTGAAAATTATCTTACAGGCTCTTAGTGCAGTGGAAGGAGGGCAGAGGTTCTAGCAACAACCTCCTCATGGCAGCTGATGTGCTCATGGGTGCGTCTGCTACCTAAGAATATGCTCCCACTCCTGTCTTTGGCTCCTGTCTCCTGTGGGCCAACCACACTGGTGTGCAAATTCCCTGAAGTCTACGAGACTACATGTGTTCTTATTCACTTGGTTTCACATGTGTGTAAAACACTTGCTAAGAGGACATACAAAGAGATCCATTATATTTTCATGTGATTTATGTAAATATTGAAGCTCACGCATTAACCAAAACTTGCCTCCACCTTCTGGCTGAGAGGCATATCCATGTGACAGGGTCATGATGCTCCGACCTCACTGGAGTTCTGTGTCACTGTCTGTCTAATAGAGGGGGACAGAGCACAGAGATGACACACACCCCTCTTCACAGCTGAATGTCACAAACTGAAGGCAAAGTCAAAGGGGCCTAAAGGTGTTAAAAGTGTCCTTGTGACCCAGTGGATCTCAAATGGAGTGATTCTCTGCCAGTCAGAGGATTCTGGAATGTCTTGAGCTGTTTTTATGGAGAAGGATGTACCAGCCTGTGAAGTGTGGCTTGCAGGATGGTTGAATACCTCCTCCCTGCACAGAGCAGCCCCCCACAGGCAATGACTCCACACTGTCTTGAGGAGTACAGAACTTGTTTTGGAATAAATCACCTTCATGAAGTGATCACAAAGGAAATACAGAATCATCCATCAAGACACGGGTGTCAGGGAAGAGGAAAGCTAGCAGAAGGATTCATACAGTCTCCACACAGACACTGGAGCAGGAGGCACAGGGAAGAACAACCTCCCTGGAGGGTCTGGTTGGGGGCAGACCCAGGCTGGGGAGGCTCTGGGAGTTTTGGTCTCACTTCGCCATGAGTCTGGAGCACTGTGAGCTATGGCTACCATAAGAGAGGCAGTAGTAGTCGGCCTCATCCTCAGGCTGCAGCCCAGAGATGGTCAGGGAGGACCACTGGACGAGCTGTCCTTGGAGCCAGTGAACCGATCAGGAATCCCTGAGGGTCTTTGGTCATCACCGTCGATCAGCATGGTGGGGGCATTGCCTGGGTGCTTCTGGTACCAGAGAATTTAGTGGCTTCCAATGTTGCCACTGCAGAATCTGACACTGAGCCAAGTTGAGTCAGCTCAAACTGGGCCCAACAACCTGCAGGAGACCAGAACACAGAGGTCAGTGAGAACAGAAATGACCTCTATCCCAGGGAGGGAGGAGAGGTCATTATCTGAGGTGACATCCAGGTGTCCTCCCAGAATTCCCTTCAGGCAGCACCTGTGCAGAGGGCAAGGAGGGTGAGGATAGGATGAGCCCAGCCCATGGTGTGATGCCTCTTGGCTCTACTTGCTGAGTCCCACAGCCCCTACTGAGGCCACCAAACCTTATGTGTCACCCTATTCACAGGTGGGAGGTCTCCATGCAAATCTTCCCCTCTCAGGAACTGGATCAAGCCCCTCCTTGAAGATAGGCTTGGACACCAAATGAGTAAAAAAGATGGTAAGACTGGGGAGGGCTAACCTCCAGGGATACTCAGGAAAACCTGCAAGAGGCCACAGAGAGCAGAGCTCACAGCTCAGGAACTGGGGAGCACCTGCGCCCTCTGGAGGATGCAGGCGATATGGCGCCCCTCCAAGGAGACCAGCTCAGTGTCCAGCCCTCGGACATCTCACTGGTCACGATCCGCTTATCAGATTCGTTTCCCTACACGGAAGTATAATGGAAGCCTCCTTGTGTCTTTCTGTGGCTTTCTCGCTCCGTTTTAAAATCCCCTCGTATGGGTAGCAGGGACATGTATTCATCACCTATTGCAGGACATACCGGTTGCTTTCACATTTCCACAGACATGAAGAAAGCAGCATTAAACAACTATGTGCTTATCATGTGACACAAATACTGATTTCAGAAATACCTAGGAGTGGGATTTCAAAATTGTATCATATTAGAGTGACTTTCCCTTTGTAAGAAACTGTCATAGTGTCGTCTCAATTTGTCGTGACTTTTTGCATTCCCAGCAACAAGAGAGGATTCCTGCCCCCTCCCTGCAGGGCAGGATCTAAAGACGTCATTCATTCTTTTTAAACCATTCTGACAAGTGACATTTCATTATGGACATGTGCATTTCCTCAGGAACTTACAATGTGGAGTCATTCTATACTCATTCACCATTCGCTCCTCTTCCTACGTGAGGGGCCTGCTCATCTGTTCAATTGGGGGAGGGTGTTGCCCTCCACAGGGGATGCAGGTATCTAACCTCACATATCCAACCTCTGCGGTGCAGGGAGGCTGTGCAGCCCCACAAAGCTTCCTATGGGCGATATTTCAACTGTATGAAAAATAATATGAGAGAACCGGTACTGTATTTTCTACAAAGACAAAATTAGCTGCAGTGGAAATAAAGTGAGGAAATAGATTAAAAGTTCAGAGAACAAATGAAAAGTTCAATTGTAGAACTAACCCAGAGAATTGCTTACAATACAATTTCAGAGGAAATTTCAGACAAAATCAAGA